CATCCTACCTGTGTGAGGTGGGGAGTTTATGCAGCAACAGCGACTAAAACAAAATTACAAAGTAGACTGGACATAAACCACACACTTGAGGTGTCATTGTCTCCTATTACCCCGAGATGGGACTGTCTGATTGCAGAAAATCAAGCTCGGGGCTGTGGTGAGTCGTCATTTTCATGCACTTTGAATTTGCGTTGTATCGTATTTTGAAGGCATTAAACATTACCAGAGCGATAAGAGTGTTGCGACCAGATTAGACGCTCCTTGTGTTTATTATTATATTTCGAAAACACCACAGTTTTCACGCAGCTCATACCATATTATTTTGTTGTATTAATTCCGCCACACCTTAAATACCGGTCCCTGAAAATATTGTCTGACTTAAACCGGTCCGTGGGGCAAAAAAGGTTGGGGACCCCTGCTGTAGTGCACTCCATTTGGATGCAATTCACAACAATCAAGTCCCTAATCCCTAGAATGAAAACATCTTCATGGTCAATGGACCACCTAATCAAGTATCATGCCCATCCCGAGTTGCTTCCAAATGTGCCATCCAAATCCTAAAGATTGCTTCCTGTGTCTTTCAGATAGTGGTTTGGGGGATTTGTTACCTTGCTGGGTTTAAAATCAAATTTGTAGCAAAGTGTAGTTGTCATAAAAAAAAAAAAAAAACACTCAGCTGTACACCTCGCATGTTGCAGCTTATATTTTATTTTAATACAATGCACACTTTCATTAAAACTACATGTCAATTCAATTTTAAATAAAACATTTACTTACCATACTTTTTCAACCATAACCTCTGAGATGAAAAATCAAAATGAAGCCACATTTCTCACATTTTAACCTTTGATTGTCGGTCCATGAATTTGATCAAATCTGACATCTTCACACTTTGCACGGGCCTAATGAACAATTCACCAATGCAACATACGACATCACACTGAAACAGAAGCCAACCAGCGGGTAGCTCATGACTACATTTAATGTAAAACCAACCCAAAGGTGAAGATCCAAAAAAAATGCATTGCAGCAACTTCAATGTTCCATCTCGTTGACTTTCACGTCATCCCACCTGAGCCCCCTCTGACCCATTTGGGTTAACCCTCCACTTTCACCCACAGTCCACCGCAACATGCCCAAAGAGCAGGCCATGGATTTTGTTGCAGCAGAGCACAGGCGCGGAGTTGGGAAGGAAAGTAAACAAAGGGACCCCGCAGACATTGCATCCCAGGCCTCGCAGTTGCTTGGGGAATTTCTGGATCGGGAAAAGATTGAGCGCCACCTCGTTCCCTCGGAGATCCGCCAGTCCCTCCAGCTGTTGTCCGATGGCGTGCACGTTTATGCCGAGGAGCTGGAAACCGTCCTCGCGTTTGTCCGCGCCCGGCAGGAACACTTGAGAGGTGTGCCGCCGCTCAGTCTTGTCAGCGACACCGATGGTTCTGTTACTTTCCTGGGATCGATCTCTTTAACTCTGCCTGGGTTTTGTCACCAGCGAGCAACGGCAGGGAACAGAAGGGCAAAATGTTCTCTTCTGGACCGGGAAAGCCGCCTCCCCTTCTCCCGACCCCGCTTGGGCCGCCTCAGTGCGCAAGTGAAGCAGGGCGCCCGCTAATGGACTGTCCTCCGCCCACACCGATGCCACTCTTACCATCACCAGGTGAAGACCTCACAACACGGGCCCGAGTCGGTTCTATGTCGCCAACCAAAGCAAATGCTTGGAAACTGGAATTGCAGTTTTTCCATACTTGAATAATTTTACAAGTATTTAAGGTTGAGTATGAGAAATCCGTTGCCATCGTGGCTCCACACTGCATGTAATAGTGGTGTTTTGCTCCTAAAAGTTGAGAGAGTGAAATTCAATTTTTCATCTGCTCGCACCTGGGCAAGCAGTAAATTTTGTTTGTTTTTATGTATTTATTTTCTATTTGGTCTATATGGTCAGGTGGTTGTACATTTATATGGTTTTATCAGTGATGCAAGTGATATATAGTCTCCCTCTAGCAGAGTCGAAAGAATCAGTTAATTGAATGCTAAAACTGTGTGTAATGTTTGTGGCCTAAACTTTTTAATACAGTACTGTTAAATTTGAATCAACTTTTTGAGTGCAGTGCAACTGTTTTAAAATATTTTAATTTATGTGTTGTATATATTTAAATTGAGTCATTCAATACAATTCTATATCGTTCAATACAATTCTATATCGAAGTGCAATGTGACAGTGGCTTACAATAATTATGCTGATATAATGATATACTTTTGAGGGCTAAAACCTTCGCCTTGTTTTTTCAACGAACATTTACGCTTACTACACTACTGGAGTTAACTGTTGCCCATTCTAGTGTGACTTGGGCAGGGTTAAGTGTTTTTTGAGGTACTGTACGGCGGCATATGGAAAAACCAAGTGAGTCGAATCGGTCATTTTTACAATAATTGTAACATTTCGATGTTTGGATTCCTCACTTTTAGGTTCTCATACGAAAACCAAGCCTCCCCCACTGCTCTCTTTGCAACAACCGCCATCCTTGCACAACTCCTATAGTGGCTCCAGTTTGCTATGCAGCCCCCTCATGCAGCCCCTCCCACCTCGTCACCAGGGCCCAAGAGGACCCCATGCCATGAGAGGGGCTCCACCCTCCCTCAAAAGTTCTCGCCCTCCACTCTTGTCCACTCCAGGTGGGTTACTTGGACATTCCATTTCATTGGATGCCTCTGAGAATTGATGGTAACCTTTGTGTTGGGTTGGGTATGTGTCATGAAGAAAAGGGTTTAAAGCAAGACTCACTGACATATTTTGTCTTCTTGTCTCTCCCAAGGTATCCCCCGCCTGAGTGGTCCCAGACACTAAGCATGCAGCAACTCTGAATTACTTGGTATTTAAAAGACTCGTTGCCTTGTAGGACTCTGTAGGATTAAACTTTTAAAAAGCGAGCTGATCTAAGAAAAAACATCCAGTAAATGACTTCAACGTCGGATTTATTTAATGGGTTAATATGTGGCTGGACTGTGTTTTTCCCTTCTCTTTATTTTCATTTTGTTTTTCCAAAGTGCAATGTACATATGTCCAGTTTGCCTTTTTAGATTGCCGCACAGAACGTAACGATGTGAATAAAGACAGACTTCCTCGACCATTTCTCATACAATGCCTTTTTTTACAAAAATGTTTTCTTTTCAAAAGCATGGGCCACATTTCTCAAGAAAAAACATTTTTAGCTGCAAGACAAGGTATGGAAAATAGGAATAATGTGTGCAAAATTAGGAAGGAAAATGACAAAGAATGTGCACAAAATGACCTATGAGTCAAAAGATTAGTCCTCAAGCTGAACAATGCAGAATGTTGTTGATTCAACAAATCCGACATAATGTTCAAATGTTTTATCCTTAGATTGTTGCTTCGTTGTGTTTTTGTCAGATAAATGCTTTTGGAATTCCTCTGTGACACTAAAAGATTTTCTGTTAAAAAGATGCCTTCTGCATTGCATGGGAAGGAAACATAAGTTGTTGACATTTTTTAAATATATATTTTTAAACTGTACGTATGGAGTGTAAATGCACAAAGCATTTGTGACTGTGAAAATGTTCAATGTGCTCCTGTTGTGCAGATATTGTGGGCTGGGTTTCCCTCCACCACAAACTGAACAAATGCGCTTTTTTGTTTTTTGAGCTTCACCTCTCAAAATATTCAAATCATTAAATATGTTCAATTTGTCGCTGAAATCTGTTGAATCTCTTGTGAAACCTGGCTGATAATCACGAACCAAGATTGGAAGACTGAAGTGTTGCACATCCTAATCCCCAGTTGGCACCACATACCTCCTCTCAGCACACTATTATATCAACCCAAATCCCCTCAAAGATGATACAATTACTCAAGTTTACTTTGTTTCTGTTCTAAACAGTTGAGAAATGGTCATGTTCAGCATCGCCTGAATCACTCAGGTCAGACATACAGGATCTGAATCTTACTGTATGGTGTGCTAAATCTTACACATTTTTAGAATAGTAGAATAGTCACCAGGCCTGTGTGGTTTTTCTCCGGGTACTCCGGTTTCCTTCCACATTCCAAAAACATGCATGGCAGCCTGATTGAACACTCAAAATTGTCCCTCGATGTGAGGTTGAGTGTGAGCGCAGATGTTTGTTCGTCTCTATGTGTCCTGTGATTGGTTGGCAACTGGTTCAGGGTGTGCCCTGCCCAGAGGCAGCTGGGATAGGCTCCAGCACCCCCTGCGACCCTTGCGAGGATAAGACAGATTGGAAAATAGAAGGATGTTGTCCAGTAGTTGAAATTTGTGATGGATAATGTGGTCTTAAAGGTGAAATAATAAAAATAAAAAACCTTATTTCACAAATACATTTTCTGCTGTTTATTGTAGCCCTTTGCTAATAGAAGAAATAAATGACAATCACTCTTATATATATATATATGTATATGTATGAACTTTCATTTCTTTCAGTTTGCCCAATAGGTTTTCAAGTTAAGGTTGTATACAGTTGATACATTATAAATTGTTAAAAGTATTTGCACTGATGGTAGAAAAATAAAACGCATTTTTTTTCTAGTTTATATTGCATTTGCATGTAAAGGCTGTTTGTGATTGATGATGGAAGAAAAATAAAACGCGTTTTTTTTCTAGTTTATATTGCATTTGCATGTAAAGGCTGTTTGTGATTGATGTTTGTAAGAATTTGTGAATGTTCATGAAATTAGTTCCAAATCATTCAGTTTGTTTTTAACACAAGACGCCACCTACTGACGAAAGTCAGGAGTGACAATTACGTCCTTATCTTTTCGGGCAAGTGCGTGAAAGCCCAAGAGGGATGTTGTACAGGTATGCGGCAATACTATTTAGCATCCAACTTGGTTCAGTCGTTGTGCATCAAGTCAGTAACCAAGAATGAAAGCTTATTTTCACCAATAATGCTTTGACAAACCAACATTTTATTATCATAGATCAAATAAGTTGTCCTTATACAGGATGAAAAACAGCAGAGACAACAAATGTTTGCATTGTGATGGCTATCTTTATTATTGAAGGAATGGCCTTGAGCAGGACGCAGACCCGGAAACTGGAAGGTGCTGTCATCACGCGATACCAAAATACGTCTGGCGGAAACTAAATTAAGGAGCGGGCTGAGCCTTTGAATAATTCGCTCGAATGGAAGCCAGACCAAATGGCAGAACTGTTTAGAGGACATCCGGGTTATCAGCCTCAGGAGCTGGGGAGAGAAAGAAAAGTCAGTGCAAGCTGAAGTCCAAGAAATGCTTTTGAAATCTGATACATCCATACAATTAGTCAAAAAAAACTTGAAGGCTGGCCTTTAATGGGTAGCCATTTTAATATTCAAATTACAACACTGACCGCTCTTTAATGCAGCTAACATACTTACGTTTGCACACGTAGGAAATCTCCAAGTACTTGTAGGTGCCTTGACATGGGTTGGTGAACATTGCATTGCTGGCTGGGACTGAACAGGTGGATTTCCCCTTACACCTTTGAATGAGGAAAATGGGCTTAGTTTCAGGGATGGGGAAACAAACAAAAAGATTGTGCTACTGTGCATTTGGGAAAAAAAGATTGTGCTACTGTACATTTTGACAACCAGGGAAGTTGATGGCTCCAGGCAATTGACGTTTTGTCGCTGATCGAAGGGCCTTCCCTCGGAGCATGTGGTCTGGTCGCGGCGTCCGTAGGCTGCACCATCGATGGTAACGTGTCCCAAACCTGCTGTTGGGATAAGGGGAAAGAATGGTGGTGATGAAATGGAAGAGTAGACATTGATTGTAACCACTTGAATCCTGATTTGAGATATCCGGAATCATTGAGCTCTGGATTTCATGGAATGAGACTGTCCAGCCAGCTCAAAATCCCCTTTGGTACTGTAATTTGTCAGAGTCTTTTAGTTCTAGAATAGAAAAACTTGAGTCAAACAGGCTAAGCTGCACCAATCAAAGTTATTGCATAGCATAGCCATATCTATGGCTGTTGAATGGTGCAAGCCATTTTATTGTGTGTACACGCCTGTTGAACATGCCATTTTTGTCAAGCATTATCAATATCATCAGGCAGGTATGGCCTAATTTTCATTTACAATAATTCTATACCGTATTGGTATTTACTAGTCCTCAAGAGGGGGAAAAAAAACTCTCAAATAATATAAAAAGTTCTTACCACAATCCAAGTGTGCCATGGCCCCCTGACAAGCCACCACAGTCACTGTCGGAGTAAATTCAATGTTAGTTCTGGAATTGTGTAAAATCTTCACAGAATGTCGGAGACGTACTTGGTTCCAGGCAGGTAAAGGTGGTCTGCAGATATTTGAAGGTGCCATCACAGGTACCATGAGTGTGGAAACCAGTCAGGCTCACTTCACATGATTTCCTGCCATTGCATCTGCGCGCAAAAAAACATCAGTCCTTTCAAGTTGTTACAAAAATTAGCCTGGTTGAGAAATGGATTTTCAGATCCTCCTATACATTTTCATCATCTGAACAAAACAAGCACGTTTCAATTCTCACAACTTGGGCCCGATGCATACTTTGTCTTGAGTTCGTCCACGGTGCTTTCCTGAAGGCAGGCTGTGTTGGCCAGCTCTAGATGAGATTGGCCCTCATCAGTGCAGACCCACGAGTTTGAGCGACCCCACACCGAGTCAATCACACTGATTACGCCATGACCTGTCACACCAAGACAGACAGCAATCAACATGGGGAAAAGTTCATCTGAACATGACTCTTTTAGATCAGAAAATCAAAGAACTTTAAGTCAGTGAAGGTTTAAATAAGACTGGCTCAAGTCTTACGGCAGTCTAAGCGGTGGACGTTCCCGTCCTCATGATCACAGGTGGTCGCTCGGTTCTCAGATGCAGCAACTGCAAAATATTAAAAATTGGTATGAATTAATTTTCTAAGAAACGGGAACTACCCAATGAATATTGGACAAACGTTGACAGTCACCTGCTGTGAGGAGCAAACCGGTTGCTCCCAGCACTGTGGAAAACAAAAATTGTCTTTAGATCAAAGAAATGACATGGGCATATTTTAAGAGTAAGGTGGTTTGTCAATGACACAACACAGTCAAAAACACGTTAGCATCGATTATGCTCAATCATCCCTCCTCATTCCTGAAACAGATTTCATCAGGGAATCAGCGAATACTCACACAGCGCGGCAGTAAGTCTGAAGCGGTTGGAATTCATTTTCGGACAAGAAAGTCTCCCACACTTAGACGATGACAGGAGGTGATCCCGTGTCTGGAGAGTGACTTCATGTCTTGCAGCTCATCTCCTTTTAAAAGGCATGCCGACTTGTAGGAGGTCTTCGGCGGTGTGCATGATTAGCTGGCTACGTGACGCAGGTCCGCGTGACAAGAATTTTCGAGATTGTTTTTTGTTTTTGTTTTTTTGCGCCAAAGACAATGGTACCCTTCATTTTGCCCTCATATGCACCTGTTTTTCTGATACACGCTACAAGCCTGATGTTGTTACTTTGTTATGATGCCTCAAGGTTTGTCGGAAACAATTCGTTGCATTAGCCTGTGTGAATTTTATGAACAAAATATTTCACTCGTTATCAAAAAAAAAATATAGTTCTCAAGTTGGCTCACAAATTTGCATGTGCAGCTGTGGCGTACGCCCTTGAAACATTTTGTACATAACTTTGTTTACTCCTTAATAGCCTTTTGCCATTGAGCTCAGGGCAAGATTAAAATTTGAGAAACATGTCAACTCAAACAGTTGGATTAGTCCTACAATGGCACCTCAATTTCTGAACTGAATTTGCTTGAACACAATGTCAATTGAACTTTTGACTAAAATAAATGAAAATGCAATAAATCTATTCCAGACCCGGAAATGCAGTACAAAAACTGCACTAAAGAAATACTCAACTATAGCCTCCTAAGACCTGAACTCTTGCAAGGCATGCATTTTTAGTTTATTTTTATTTTCTCTTTGATATTTAGGCTAATTGTGACCTGATGAGTGTAAAAACAAAGAATTATCTTTTTACATGATGTAATGTCCTCGTAAGTGGACGCCAGGCCCTTATAGTCCAAAATTTAACATTGTAGTCTTGACAACCCAAAACGTCATGTCCACACATGTGGACGCCAGGTCCCAGGAGGTTAAAGCACTTTAAAATGACCACCGCTGTATACAAAGTGCTGTTCAGGGAGCAAAGATATTATACAACAAAACAAATGAACAAAGACAGGGGAAAGCACAAAATCAATAAAACTAAAATCAAGCGTTAGTCATGCGGAGTCAAAAGCCAAAGAATACGAATGAGTTTCATTACAAGAATGACAAGATCGTGCAACATATTGCAAACAAAAAGTAAAACAGATGATATTTAAAATGAAAACACTGTACAACGGGCTCTCAGTTTAGTTTTATATGATACAATATTTTTCAAGGGAGTCCTGGCCAAGAGGCAGCAAAATGTTGCAACACACTTCAAATGACATACATGTACATGCCAACACAAGTTACAGTTGCAACCATTCAAAATGTCAGCCAAATTAGATAAAACGGTTACAGGTTAAGGAGGCTATCTTCTTTGCACTCAGTCTGGATTCAAAGTCATTCTCTGAGATAAGTCCCGTTTGTTTCCAGTCCTTTTGCAACAAGTTCCATGATGACAGGGCAGAGAAGACAAAAGCCCTTTTCAGGCAAATGAAACAATTGGCACCATAATATTATTTGAATGTAATCTGTGAGAACCGACATCTGCCTGTGTGATCAAGTTACAAAATGGGGATTTTCCACATTCTATTAGGGCTGGCCAAACATTTTGTACAAGAAAAGAGATACAACGTATTCAAAATGCATTACCGCAATTGGTATGGTAAAAGGCAGAAATACTTTTATCCTGATGATGAAAAAAGTGGATACAAGTTTTCTTCTGGTCGGTGCTTGCCTACATAGCTGCAGAACTCAGTTTTCTGTCGGCCTTCAAAAATCTGTCAAATGGTCAAAAGTGACCGGCTCTCCAATTCGAGAAAAAGAAGTCCATTTTCATTTACTGTTTTACTGTTTAATGTTGCACTGTACGGTTGTAATGTGTGATAACTATGACTTATGACTCACTTCCCTGTGTTGTTCAGTCTGCCACCTGATGGTAATTGTGTGGCATAAGAATGTCAAGTGAAAGTTTTTGCCTATCAAATCAAGCTTTGTCTGTCGTTCTTATTACTCGCATTTTGCTGTGAAAATGCATGTGTCAAATGACGATCGACGCAAAATGAGAAAAGTGACACGATAGAAACTTCTCTATCGCCATCGTGATGTATATCAGCATATCACCCAGCTCTATGTACAGGTATATGCGAGGATATTTCATTTATGCACCACTGCACAATCTCAATTTGACTTACCTGCGTGATGGGCTCAACGGAGCCAACGTATGTGTCTGGTCGAAGATGAATGCGTTCAAGTTGCATCTTCTTTTGGTAAACTACAGTAATATACACTTAAACAGTAAAGTCTAGATAAAAAAAAACATCATAATACTTGACAAAATTCAATCAATTTAAAATAATTGGCATATTAGAAACTTGGCTAGACGATGAAAAAACAAGTGAAATGAAAATAGAAGGATATGAACTGTTTGCAACAAATAGGGAACATAAAAAAAGGGGGGGGGTGCAATATATGTAGACAAAGCTCTTAGATGCAGGAAAATCGAGAGATTGACAAACACAATAGATAACCTAATGCAGAGGTCCGTAACCCCCGGATCGGGGGTTACAGATCATTTGGTACCGGGCCGCACAGAAAGAATAAATAATTTACATTAATTCCATTTGATTTATTTCGGAATACGAAAGATGTTTTATTTTGAAAAATTGCCTGATTCTCTGTTCCATCCATCTGTGTCACTCTTGACGCACGTCAAGGCAAGCTTTCTGTCACGAGATCGATTACGCTAAAAACAAAACGCAGGAGCTTGCAAAATGAGTAAAAACGGCGGCCTTAAAAGTACGTTCGAGACAACAACTCTGCCGGTGTTCTGGATTAAAGTGATGGCTGAATACCCTGAGATCGCCACAACAGCACTGTTGCTCTTTCCGACATCGTACCTGTTTGAAGCGGGGGTTTTCTGCAGCGACGGCGACCAAAACAAAATTACGAAGTAGGCTGGACATAAACCACACACTTCAGGTATCATTGTCTCCTATTACCCCGATTGACACGATATAATCATAGTATATTATTGAATAAATTAGAGAGATGTGGCATTAGAGCTGTAGTATATAAATGGATAAAAAGTTATTTAGATAACAGATATCATCAGTATGTGCAGTTCAACAATAAAAAAATCTAATCAACTGAAAATCACTCATGGAGTTCCTCAGGGGTCTGTGCTTGGTCCAAAACTATTCATCTTATATAGAAATGATATCTGAAGTGTCTCCAAACAATTTAAATGTGTCCGATTTGCTGATGATACAACATTCTACTGCTCTGGAAATTGAAAATTAATTAAACTAATTATAGTTTTTCTTCTGAGAAAATCTGAAACCGTTCCTGATGACTGGAAAATTAATTAAACTAATTATAGTTTTTCTTCTGAAAATAAATGATTGCTCTTGGAAAATGTCCCTTTTATCAACACTGGTATGAAAACATTGTCCTAAATAAACATTTCAAAATTTTGAACAAACAAACCATTCGACCAGATGGCTGATCAAGGCATGACAACACCACAGTTCAAATGCCGGGCTTTTATTCAGAATGAACCAATCATATTCAAACTTAGGTTAGGTGGAAGTCAGCACACACCTGCCACTGTTTTAAGGGACACCTGATGAAAGCCAAATTAATTTCGGGTGTTCTATTGGGCTTTTCCTGACATTTTTTGTTGCTTTTCCACAGAAGCCTAAAGGGTTCATGCTCACGCTGACTGCTGTTTGAAACTGTCCAAAGTACCTCCACCTTGATGAAAACCCGAATCAGAGCTCTAGAAAAACAGCACACAAGGCTGCCACCACCACAGCTCACTGCAGGTATGCCATTTATTTATTTTTATTTTTTTGGAAGGAGGGTGAAGAAACAGTCACATTAACGCTGGGAAATGTTGTGAAATTATTAATCGTGGCCTCATTTTTATCACAAACACCTGGCATTTACACAAGGCTGTGTAGACTTTATATCGACTGTACAGCAGGTGAAAGGAGTCCAACATTTTGACAAATCACTCCTTTTACTCTCTGCCTGGTTTTTACCAGGCTTGGAAAATGGTTTGACAGAAGGTGGTCTTAGTGCGTTGTGCCTCGGTAGGTGTGCGCTTGCACGCCAGGAACTCTTGAAGTGATATCGAACATGAACTCCCCTGCACCACAGCAAACACCTTCCCTCCCATCACCAGAAACACACATTCGGGTGTTAATTGTCGCAAAGGCACGTTTCAATAACAAGGCTCTAATTATCAACATGTTTGCCTGTTGGGGTGTGCCTCTGGCACATGTGTGCACGGCATGTGTGTTTTACAGTATGTTTTACACCAGTATATGTGTCACGGGTTCATGCATGAGTTGTTCACAAATTCAAATAACTTTGCTAAAGTGAGTCTCATGTTGCTAGGAAGAGTCCCAGGCCATAAGCACAAGTCATGGGTCAGAGTCAGAGATGAAACGGGCTGTTTGATTGGCTGCCTACCTGACAGAACAGCGTGTTAAATATTTGGCAAATTGGTTTGTTGTCTGGTTAGCTGTCTGTCTGGTGGCCTTGTAGTGTACAAGCATCTGCCAAGTTTCAATACCTTAACTCATATTATTAGGGTTAAGTTTGTCTTTCATGAATACCACTTGAAGAGTGATGGGACAGAGAACATTTCTGCAGCGTTCTTTGTGTGCGTGTGTGTGTGTGTGTGTGTGTGTGTGTGTGTGTGTGTGTGTGTGTGTGTGTGTGTGTGTGTGTGTGTTGTGTGTGTGTTAATCTATTGAAATTGTAACCATCACAATACCCACCCATACGTTTAAGTAGCGTTTTAGTGAACAGTATATCTGTTATAAACATGTACATTCGAAATAACCACTCTATGAGAGCAAAAAAAAATCCTATGCAAATTCAAGATTGTAGAAAATTCCGATTCAATTGTAAATACGAATTTTACGTAGTTTTATTACATCGCCATATTTAAAAAAACCGAATCTACAATTACATACATCTACCATTTACGGCCAGTAGAGGTCAGCAGATTGTCAATGATGTTGCCGTTGACGCCTTCTGTTAGGGAAAAAAAAATTGTTCACGCTCACGCTCGCTCTGCCCCCCCCCCT